TCTCTCTTTTTTCTCTCTCATTTCAGATATCTCCGACCCCGGAACCTCAGGACAACAACTTCTCCTATTATTAATTACAATATCGCAGTAATTCATTATGATATAAAATGTGTCTGTTATCCACAGTAATTAATAGTCTTTACACTGTTGTTCCATTTTTAACTAGTCAGATCTAATACCTGATGGTGCTCAAGTGTTCCTGGTCTTTTATCGCCCCCCTCTCCCCTACTTCCGCCTCCCCACTATCCCTCTCTCTTCTCTCCCCTCTTTTCCACCCATCTCTCATCTCCTTCCCCCGTTTTCTTTGCTCAKCCCAAKRGGTCGAGGCAGATGACCGCCCACATTGAGTCTGGTACTAGAGGTTTCTCTCTGTTAATGAGGGAGTTTTTCCTCCACAGTCGCCAAAGTGCTGCTCATTGTAGGAACTGTTGGGTTTCTCTATATTTTGATTTTAACATCCTGACCTTCTATGTAAAGTGCCTTGAGACAATGTATATTATGATTTGGCGCTATACAAATAAAATTGAATTGAATTGAATTGAGAAAGGGAATCAGCCTTGGAGGTATGTGCTCTCCAAGTTCACAAAGGCTTTGTCATAGTAGTGGGTACATTCACAGCTACAAGTACGTACCTCACTATGGAGAATATTGGAAAAACTGGATGAAGCAAGTTTCCATAGGGTTTCTGAATAATCATGACCTTAAGAATAATCATTTAAGAATTTTTCTTTTAGTTTTGCTTGAACTCACTATTGTTTTATATTCTGACAATTGTAATATTTTATCAAAGCACTACAAAATATAATTGCTGTAACAAGCCTTGGTTACCTGCAACCTGACATGTTTCCTTGGTTTTAAATTTGATGTATGTGATTGATTTCCTCAGGATTCCACACAGATCAATTGTAGGACCGTGCTTTTAATTGTGCATGTTCCCATTTGGCAACAGAGTCCACAGAAAACAATTTTAATGTGAAAGACTTTTGGCTCATGGCTGCCATCTATGACATGTCAACATAGTTGCTAATCAAAAGAGATGAGAAACAGATAAATGCCAGGACTATCCCAGAGGTTCATGCATCTTTAGGAAAC